GCCCCCTCTCTCTGTCTCTCCGTCTCTCTCCCTCCCTCTCTCTCTCACGCCTGCTCTCCTCATGGTTGCTGCTCTATGCTGGGAGTGCACTGAGTGTCCAGAGTGTCTGCAACATCAATACAACTCACTTCTCGGCTTTATTTTTCATCTGAGCATCATTCTCTGAAATAATATTCTATTTTTATCAACATTTAAAAATTAAAATAGAATTCTATCATTCTTTGTCCTTCCTCTAACCCCACTCATGTCTCTCTCACTTCCTCACACATTGATAATCTTTTTTTTATTATTACTGTTCCATATACATACATAAATATATAACTACAACCTGTTGAGTCAGTTTATTATGGCTTGTGTATACAAGTTCAAGGCTGACAACCAATTATGGAACTCATCTCTAGAAAAGGATAGTCCTACACACACACACACACGCACACACAGCAGTGATTATTTGTCTATGATTCTTTGTCTAGGGGTGGATTCCATGAGCTTCCCCTTGTGAGCTAGCATGTGAACCGACATCATTGTTTGGGCCTTCTTTAGGCAGCATACTGTTGAGGTGTCCCTCGTGTTTCCTGGATACACACTATCTCAGCAAACTTTTTAGTCCTCTGTGCCCACAGTCGCTTTGTCTTCGCTTCTGCAATGTCCTCCAAGCCTTAGCTGTGGCATTGTCTCCCACTCTAGCAGAGTCCTTGCCAGCCAAGCATGCAGAAGTACTTATTTATGACTGAATACATAAATATGACTTTCCTGCCAGTTCCCTCTGAGTCCTTGCTGCTATCTGAAGAAGTAATTATTCAAATAAGCTTCTAATGAAGTAGGCATTTCAAACTAAGCATAATAAAAATAATAATTATGAGAAAATCTTGATTGGATCTTGAAGAAATATTAGGCCCTACCCTCTGCACTCTGTGGACACTCACACATCTCACTAGCTCAATCTCACAGAGGAGGAGCACCCGTGCCAGGACCTCGTGGCTTGTAAGAGGGCATGTGAATATCAATACCTCTCCTAACTAATTCAGTGCCTGCATTTTCCCAGAATTTCTCTACTTGACCAATAAGATGCCCAGATCTTTGGATTAGGAGAGAATATTTGAGGAGCTCTAATTCTTCTCTGGACCCAAGCATCCGCTGCTGGAGTGCCGGCAGCCTGTGGGGCCCCAGGCCTCCTGAATGAGACCCTTATTCCTTTTGTTTGGCTGATGTTACACCTGGTAGGGAGTCCAGAGATGATACTTCACATTTTTGAGAGGAGGAAGGAATAGGAGACAATGGTAGAGAAACAGACAGGCAGTTAAAAACAAGGTTCTTCATCACAGAGACAAAGGTTACCAAAAATTACCCTATAATCATAAAAAGAACATGAAGAAGAAAGGAATTCAAGAAGGGATGCAGGGAAAACGGCAGAAGAAGAGGGACTTGTGGGGAAGGCACAAGGGAAGGAAGGGGTACTGTTGGGAGAGCCCTTCAGAGAAGTTTAGCGGTGTGCGTGTGGAACTGATTGCTCTGGTCTAGCCTGTGCTGGTTTCTTTTCCAGCTGTGCCCTGTGAAGCTGCTGGTGAGTTGTGCTTCCCAGTCTTCCTCGAAGGCTAGGGGTACCTTGTCACCCCAATCAGCACACGAGGCCTGTGGATGACTGACCAGCCATGCCTGTCCTGGGTAAAAACTTCAGAGACTTCTGTGTCTGCCCAGTGGGGTAACACCTCAGCACCAGGACCGGTCACACCAAGATGGCAGAGAGCGTCAAAGGTTTATGTTAGAAAGGGTCTGTTCTCCTTCACAGGCTCCAGGTCCTGGCTGTGCCCTTCAGCTGGGATCCACTGCCAAGGGCTGAGAAGATGAAGACAAAGAGATGCAGGGCACAGCACTGCAGTCAGTCCTCAGCCACGCCCCAAATCCAACATGTCTGCTGCCTCCTGCTATTTTTAGCTCCACTCTGTAGTCTCTCTCTCTCCTTGCTATAAGCAAATTTAATTGGTTTTCTTGCCGCAAGGATTTTTCCCTGTGAAGCATTTATGCAAATTAACCATGTATCAACTGTTCCCTTGCACACACTATTGACCACAAGGTTTAAAAAGAGTGTCTGGCGGGCGCACCCGGCAGCCCAGGGTCAGGCTCCTCACGTCAGTGGGATCAGAAGGATCTGGTCCTCTGAGTCCCTTGCTGATCTCGAGTTTAGGCCATGTGTGTGCTAATGCTTTGTGTGCCTTGTGTCTCTCTCTCACCTCTAAGCCCAGCCACCTGACCACAGCCTGACCAGAAATATAAACCCACCCCAAGGACAAGGAAATTGCTGCTTTACACGCTTTTAAGAGAATCTCTGATGCCTGAGAATTATCTGAAACAGGCTGTGATCTATAGGCAGAGCCCCAGACTCTTGCAGTGAGGCGTTGCTAGCTAGCTTCTTGCTCCTTGTTCTGTTCGCCCAGTCAGAAGAGAGGTTTGTGACAGCATCCTCCATCCCTCCCTCTGCTCAGTTCCAAACGCTGTGAAGTTAGCAGTACTCGAGGCTGACTGCAGGCGTCATTAATTCTACAAAAAGTCGTCTTGTAGGAAGGGTCTGAGGTTAGAGACAGTGAACTAGGAATTACCAGGGATTCCGAGGACTTGGTATTTTCATCTGATGAAGAGAGAAATAACTTCTTTTAGGGAAACTACTGAAGTCTCCCAAATTGGGAGGCTCTCAGGGCTAAGCAAATGAGGAAGATGAGGAGAGAGCCTCAACCACGCTTACATACTGCTAACCCCAAAGCCTATACCCCTACAACTTAAGGCATGCGTTAGATTTTCATTTCATCTCACACATTCTACAGAGGTTTGGATAGAATCAAAAGATCTGGCCTGTGCGGACAACAGGTTCTTTTCTCCATCACGAACTGCAGCAGAGGGCTCAGAGAAGAGGTGACAGAGAACAGAGCCCCTCTGAGTTGCTTCAGTACCACCCCCAGGTCCCCTGCTGTACCTTTGAAAATGATACTGGGGGCCTAGGTGTTAGGGAGAGAGGAACCATTTTCCTTGGCAATACAGTTTATACCAAAGGTAAAAGAAACTGGTTTAGCTCAGTAGTAGAGCACTTGTCCAGGGTGTACACAGCCCCATGGCTTAGACTCCTGGTACTACCAAAATCAGGGAGGAGGAGAACAATGACAGTGACAGCAACCAGAGGAGCACAAAGAAAGGAAGAAAGGAAGGGAGGGAGGGGAAGGAGGGAGAAATGGAGGAAGGGAGGAAGGGAGGAAAGAAAGAGGGGGGGGAAGGACGGGAAAGGCAAAAGGAAAGAGACAGAGACAGTTTACCACAACCTCAAGCTTCTCATTTGCAAGTGACAGTCATCAATATACCTGCACTGTCAGAACTTCAAAACTTATGCCAGAACCTTACAGAAATAAGATCCAGATTGCCTTCTGGAAGCTAATGTCAACAACCAGGGTTAGGGTGCACCAGAAGGGGCAGGACGGGTTCACAGCAAAGGGAAACTCGTGAGGGAGGTGGTGGGAGTCGGACATCCTGTTGGCTGAGGACACAAAAGATGTCTAATCACAAATGCTGCCCTGGAGTTTGTGTTTCTGTGTTTTCTCTAGTGCTGCCTTCCCATCCTGTGCTAGAAGCCAGCCCTTCCAAACCTGTAGAGGGGCATTCAGTGACCCTGACTTGCAAGATCCACCTCCCTGCACAGAGGCAATCTGTCCAATTCTGCTTTTCCTGTAATGACAACTTTCTTGGGTCAGGCTGCAGCAGCTCCCCAAAGCTTCAGATCCCCGCTCTATGGAGGAAATGGCCAGATTATTACCAGTGCATAGCAGTGACCACGAGTCTCACAACCAACAGGTGGAGCCTGCCAATCAGGATACCCGTGCAGAGTGAGTGTGTGCGGAGCTTACGCTTCCAGACTGAGAGCTGAGGAAAAGAGAGCAGAACAGGCCATCTCTCACAGCAGAGGAGGCACACATTGCCAGCGGTCCTCATCAAGTAGCAAGGGAAGGCTTTGTAGAAGTGTGTAGGGAAGGCTGTTGGAGAAGGGTTTATGGGAAAGCCTACAACAGGAGAAAAAATATTTTTTTTTTCTGTTTTACTATTCTGGACCATGTGTGTGATTCCATGTCAGAGTTGATAATCACAAGCAAATGTCCAATACCTCAAACATGCTAATACTGGTGAAAACAACACCCACCCCCAGCTGTGAAAAGCTTGAACAGCACACATGTAGCAGATGTGAATGAATTCTGGTGCTGTAGAAGGTAATGACAGTAATACATTTACAAATGGATATTGGATCTACAAGAAGTTAAGTCATCTGACTAAACACACACACAGAAAGTTAAGAGTCTGAAGGAGTATTCCTAGCCCAGTTTGATTTATAACTTGGACTTGAAACCACTAGAGGGAAGTATGTTATCCTAGGGTGGGAAATGACATCACATACTCTCACGGTAGTGGAATGGTGCTTTTCTCACCCTGTGACTATCAGCCAAACCTAAGATGATTCCAGTTCGGCAGAACACCAGCCCCAACTTAAGCTATAAAAGAAAAAAATCACTGATTTTGCCAGCAGCCTTTGCTGCTTTCAAGACCTCCACACCTCCTCCTCCTCTCTGAAACACTTCCTCCTCAGAGCCCTCCTCATCATTACCTGTGTCCCCACAGGAATCCCTGTCTCTGACGTGAGCTTGAAGACCCGGCCCCCTGGGGGAAGGGTGATGGAGGGGAACAGGCTGGTCCTCATCTGCTCCGTTGCTAACGCCACTGGAAACATAACATACCTCTGGTACAGAGGGGCCCGGGGTTCAAACCTGGGAACAAAGACACAGCATTCACTAACAGCAGAGTTCGAGATTGCCGAAGTGAAGAGAAGTGACGCTCAGCAGTACTACTGTGCAGCCGACAACGGCTATGGCCCTGTTCCCAGTGAGCTGGTGAGCATTGACATCAGAGGTGAGTCACACAGATGCTCATCCTGGCCAGCGGGGCTCCTAGGTGCACCCTCCCCCTCCACACTCCCCCACACCCCTCCACACTCCTCCACTCCCCAGGGCGGGCAGACATGCTGGGTCCGCGGCCCGGCGAGGCTCGGCTCTAAGTGTCCGCCGCTGATCAGTTCCAGTGTCTCGGCCCGTGCTCACGCTTGGGGGCGCCGGAGGCCGGGCTGTGCCGGGGGCCCTGGTGGAGCTCCGCTGCGAGGCCCCGGGGGGCTCCCCGCCCATCTTCTACCGCTTCTTTCACGAGGCCGTCGCCCTGGGGAACGCTTCGGCCCCCTCCGGGGGAGGGGCGTCTCTCAACCTCTCGCTGCGCGCAGAGCACTCCGGGGCCTTCTCCTGCGAGGCCAGCAATGGCGGGGGCGCGCAGCGCAGCGCCGCGGTGCCTCTCAACCTGACGGGTACTGTGGGGTCTCCCGCGCTGCCAGCGGTGGCCCGACCGTGGCCCGACCCGGGCGGGGTGGAGAAGCGGGTGGCAGAAGCCGAGGGGCGGCAAACCCAGCCCCTTCCTCACAGCAGCTTGCGCGCAGGTCTCGCCGCCGCCGAGAACCGCCGCCGTCTTCCCCCGTCAGGGGTCGCCGCGTGGCTGCTTGGCTGTCTTGGCCTCCTCACCGTGGCCCTAATAGTATGCTACTGGCTCAAGAGAAGAATAGGTTGGTAACCGAGTGTATTCACATTTCGCGGCTATAACCTTTCCTCCCTGAGGCACACCGCACCGTGCAGAGCGCAGCTCACGCCTGGCCACCTCACCTCCGGCTCCTTTTCCGTAGCTTCCTCAGCCTGTGAAAACACCACTTTGAGGAACGAAATTTCTCTCTCACATGTCACCGGCTGATGTCTTTTTCTCCGGTGGTTTAGCTTTTATATAAAACCAGTCAGCGAGTACAGAAGAGGGGCGCTTGGCGGCTCCCCCTCGCCAGCTCCAGGCCTGGCATCAGTGCCCAGTCCTACCCAAGGGCGCGCGCTCTTCCTTCCCCCCGAAACACAGTCCACGTCCCCACAGGTGCTGATCATTCCTGTACAGTTCTCACTTTGGGGAAGAATATCATTTTCCTCCTCCTCCTCCTCCTCCTCCTCCTCCTCCTCCTCCTCTTCCTCCATTCTGAATTTTAAATTACTTACCTTCCCAGTTTACCACAACCCATAATTTCACACGTATCTATGCTTCACCTTGCTCTCCTGTTCTCTGCTGAGCAAGTTGAAGATGGGTCAGTAGAGGCGGGTGGGGCTCTCAGTGGAATTCCAAGCCTTCCCAAGGTCTCCAGACACAGTCTCACAGTCTCTCTTTCTCTATAAACTGGCCATGTCAGCGCCTGGCTCTGGGGCTCTAGGCAGGCTGAGATTCATCAGGGTGGCTGCAAAATTTAAAGCAAAGCGTGTAACAGACAGAAGGTCCCGAACCATGTTTCTAGTACTTACAGGCTTTGGGAAGTTGATTTAACTCTTCTATACCTGAATCACCTTACCAGATGTCCCCTGGGGACAGAGTGTCGTCCAAACTGAGCACCACCAAGGCAGGAGGCAGGGCAAGAAGGGCTCCGCTGATACACGCTCTTATTTTTTTATTTTTTGCTTTGCAGGAAGACAACTGGATGGTCCAGTCGGGTAAGGGCCCTGCTTTCTCCCATGTGCTGATGAGGCTGAAAACATTTTTATTTTTTTAGATTATAGTATAATTACATCATTTCACAATACCCCTCCCTGCTCTTTTTCAAGTTCATGGCCTCTTTTTTTCTGTTGATTGCTGTTTATACAAATATGTACATGTATATATTTCTAACCCTAAATACAACCTGCTCAGTCTGATAGTGTTATTGTATGGATGTTTCCAGGGCTGACCTTTGGTATTAGATAACCAATTGGTGTGCTCTTCCCCGGGGAAGACTATGTCTCCCACTCCCAGCATTCCTTGGTTGCCTGGAGCTCTTTGTGTACAGTTTTTCCCACTTTAGTCTGTCTATTTGGGTCACCTTTGTTTAGACAGCCATGTTGGTGAGATCTTATGGATGAAGCCACAGACTTCACCAGGAGACACAGTCTCACAATCTCTCCACCCCCTCTTCTGTTATGTTCCCAGAGCCTTTGGTGCGGGACTGTTCTGTAGATGTATATACCAGAAAGAGATTTCACAACTCTGCATTTTAATTGGTTTTGGTTTCTGTAAAGTTCTCTGTCTGCTGCAGAGAAGTTTCCTTCATGAGGGGTGAGGACCGCACTTACCTTTGGGTATAAGGACAAATATTTGCAATGCAGTTAGACATTTTCCTGGTTTAGTTAAGTGGCAGTTGTATGTTCTCCTCCATGACTGGTGACATCACTAGCCCTGAGTACTACTAGCGACTACTTCAGGTTATTATGGTATACTGGTTGTTTTTATGGTTCGTGGTCCATGGGAATCAGAGGTGGATAAGACTGCTCATTGCTTCCCTGCTCCTGAGCTTGTGAGGTACCATGTGGTACCATGAGACACACCTTTAAAGCTTTGATGTCCTTTCTTGTGAGCTGCCTCCCTGGTTTAGCACACCTAAAACTCATTCTTGAGTTTCCCCCAGTGGCACCTTTCAACATTCATTTGATATTTCTCTTTACTGATTATTTAAATCCTTTTGCATGTTCTCCATTGCTTCCTTCCGATGGCGCTGCAGTTGGCTTCCTTTGCTTGTCTTCCTTTCCTTTTGGTCTTGCCACTGGTTTATCCATGCAGCCAGCTTGCTTACGGCAGAAATGTTTGAGTAAGTGGGAAAACTCTGAGGCTCTAAAAGTATTTTAGCGTCTGAAAGGTAAGTTGTACACATTACATTTCTCTGAAATGCAAGACAAAATAAGAAACACACTGAAAAAGTGATTGTTGAAGTTTGTTAGAAGCCTAGAGGAGGAGAATGTTTCTGAAATGCTTCAAGGGTAGACAGTTTAGGTATCTTCCACGCCACCAGTAAACAGCTGCTCCACAGCCCTGGAGGTGTTGCATGTGTAGCTGTTCCCTTTTGCTCCTTCCCCAAGTTGCTCACTCTAGCCAGCTATCCATGTTTAGCTGAGATGGACCACAATTTCTTTGCTTAGTATCCTTTCACTGTTCTAGAGTACTAGAAATCAGACTCCCTGATAAGCAGGCAGGTAAGGACAGATATCATGACTAGGTAATAAAAACGATGAACTTCCAAGATGGCCGTCTTCTTCCTCACTCCTGACCTGAGACAGAAGCCTGGCAGCTCAAACCAATAGGCCCCTGCTGGTAGACTGGCTCAACAAGTTCAAAATTTCTCTTTTTAAAAAAGTTATCTATTTTTATGTGTATAGATGTGTTGCCTGTGTAGCGTGTGTGTGCAGTACCCGCAGAGGAGGGTATAGGATCCTCTAGGACTAGAGTTACAGGTGGTTGTGAGCCACCATGTGGGTGCTGAGAATTGAACCCAGGTCCTTTGGAAGAATGGTCAGTGCTCTTAACTGCTGAGCCATGTCTTTAGCTCCCAAGTTCAAGATCTTATCAGGACGATTTTATACAACAGTTGTGGTCCAATCAGCCATTCAGTCTTTCTTCAACTAATTAACTCCAGATTAGGACTAAATGACTAAAAACAAGAAGAAGAAGGAGAAAAAGAAGAAGAAAAAGAAGAAACCCTCAAGAAGTCAGACTTCAGCTTTCCAAGACCCCTCCCCCAACCCCCAACCCCCATCACGGGACTGCTTTGCTGAGGGTCTTTTGTGGTGTGCCCACTGTATGTGTGTGCCCGCTGTGTGTGTGCTTGCTGAGGGTCTTTCAAGGTATGCTTCCTCCCTCCCAATAAAAAGCCCTTCTTCAACTGCTGATTCTGACATCTGTCTGTGGTGTTCACAGATTGTCTGCTGTTATCTGTGCACTCAGGATTCCTTCTGCCACTGAACTCTAACTGGCAGAGGAAACTGAATATGATCAAGATCCCTACACAGTAACAGTCACATGTGTGGGTGATATCATAGAGAATGAGTGAGCAAAACACGGTGTGTCTGGGCAGCACGTGCTCTGAGCGGGCACCACAGAGCCCCACCGCCCACAGGCGAGGCCTGGGTGTTCAGCACAGAGCTGGCCTTCCAGCTGTTGTTTTGCCGTGGATGAGTTCTCGGTGCTCCACGCTTTCCTTCACACTTCGCTGCCTCGGACATCACGCCTGGGACCTTTGGGATGGCATGTGTTCTGTGTTTGCAGGAGCCTGTGTAGGCCTGTGAGCCAAGAATCCAGCTACCTCAACTCGCCTGACTCGGAGCAGCCACTGCCTGTGTATGAGAATGGTAAGGCTTCCGAGACCTGCGTGGGCATGGCACGGCAAGCTGAAAACGGCGTTGTCTGCTGCTGGGGGAGGTGGGAGGGGCAAATGAAAGAGCCTGGAGAAAGGACTGCGCCGACCTGTCTCCTTTCTTGTTTCAGTGAGCGCTGTAAGCGGTAATGAAGTTTACTCGCTGGTGTACTGTACGCAGCAGGAGCTGGACCCAGCAGCGGGTAAGACATGGAAACGGATGAATATTTCTCTGGCTTTTGTCCAGAACAGTCAGTAGCTCTGCTTGGCATTTTGGCAGCATTTGTCCTCAGGGCCAACTGCAGCGACTTGAAAACTGACCTTTGTTCTGGCAGCTGTGTCAAGTAGAGCCCAGTGCTGTTGTGAGGATGGCCTAGCAGCGCTTGTGGTTCACATGGGCCCTGCACGCTCTGGGCGGTGTTTTACCATAGCTGCTGCTCTTGTCCCATCATACACACGGCAGGCTATGACAATGCCAGAAGTACAAAGTGTCTCCAATGGCAAAAGGGGAGAATTGCCCAGCCACCCCAGGCTGGCACATTTTCTGTGGACACTAAGATAACTGTTCATGTGATAGAAAGGAAGACAGGAAATCCTGCTGGAGATCACTCTATGGAAAACAGGCAGGAGGGTGTAAAAGACTAAATATGAGTGGGCTCTCAGCGTGCTTATCGTTCTCCACAGCTCAGCACAGGAGGACGCACAAGACAAGTGAGGTAAGCAAGCCCTCCACTCTCTCTGTTCTCTCTCCTCCCTCTGGAGACTGCCCTCGTGCCCTTCACTTTGCAGCCACTTGGGAGGAGGGAAATGTCCGGTCCTAATCCGCCTGTGTAGTAGAGATAGGAAGCATCTAGTTATAGCAGTGAAGGTTCTGGGCTTGAGGGGGTTTTGGAGGCTGTGGGTGCATTTCCTTGAGCAATGTGCTGACGTGTAGTTCAGTCGTGGCTTGTACGTATTTAAAAGTTCTATTTATTTGAAAATTTTTATCCATACCATTCACCTGTACAGCCATCAGCTAGTGCTGTATGATTAGCAATATGAAGGGACCTAAATAAATACTGAATAAAACTGAGATAATGACTTATATTGCGAAAATGTCATAACTTATAACTCTTGGGTGGTACAAAATATCCCATGTTGAGGGCTGCAGAGATGCCAGCACCTAAGAGCCTTACTGCTCTTATAGAGGACCAGAATTCAGTGCCCAGCACCTACGCTGGACAGTCACAAATGCCTGCGTCTCCAGTTACAGAGGATCCAGTGCTGCCTTCTGCTCCCGCTCTCATGTGCACAAACTCTCATATAAATACACACATATTATGCACAATTTAAAATTTTTAAAGGCATTCATGAAGCTGCAAAAGTACTTTCTGAAAACTGCAGGTGTTCTGACTTTGGTCCGACAAGTCTCACAGGTGCTTTGCAGTTGGTCTCAGGGCAGAACTCAAGTCCTTGGTGAGCCCTGAGAGCACACTCAGTTCAGTTTATTTATTCCGACACCTTTGAACCATGGCTGCCTGGAGAGTGGCCAGCAGGAGCACCCCTGGAGTAACAGGCTCCTCCGACAGCGCCGCCAGAAGACCGCAGGCTTTCAAGAGGTTCCTTTAAGGTGGTGTGTGCGCACATGACAAAATGCATCCAGGCTGACTGGGGAAAAGCCCAATGGCTTTGTCTTCTCCTCTTTGGTCCTTCCAGGTCTCCTCTGAGCGTTCTTCGAAGCCAAGGAACATCAACATTACATATGTGGACTATGGAGACACTATGTGAAGTTATGTGACCAGCAAGGGGTCCCGGGAATGCTCAGCACAGGGACAGCTGCCCACGCCTCCCCCACATGGGTCCCTTCAGGGAACTGTTCTTCATCTACTGAGGAGCTGGGCAGGCCCGGCAGAACCACCCGAAAAGCAGCTGGGGGATGTGCTGGTGGCATCTGGGTGGAGACCGTTCACGTTGGAGCATGACAAGTGGCACAAGACTGTTATTTACAAGATGAAAATTGTGTGATGCTTGGAGCAGGGGGCAGTGAGACGGAGAGTGTACGAAGCCAAGCTCAGTGGCTTTACAGGTCTGTGGCGGAGACAGCTGTGCTGCTGCGCACATACCCAGTTTCCGCCTGAGATGCCTGGCTCAGCGTGCCTTCAGTCTCTGTAATAGAATCAAAACACAGGTGCATAAAAATCTGCTGTGGTTACACTTAATTTTAGCAATGTATTTTGTATGTATAAGCTGGTCTAAATCTTCTCAGGTTTATAATTTTATAGGTTTGAAAGGCTTACCAAGTTCTAAGTTTTGAACTTGGTGCAATATTTATGCTAAGCTTTATGAATATAGGAACACAGTGTTTATTCTTGAGTCGTCAGACTTCTGAAAACATGCTCATTTTGCTTGGGCTGTTTTAATTTTAAATCAATTATGTGTTCACATTTATATATTAAAACAATTAGAGATTAAGGAAAAACTAGTCTTTGCCTTCATGTGCCACTGGAAAAACTTAGCCTGTATTTCTCTAGGTGGTTTCCATTTGTGTACAATCACACACGCCTACAAATACTGGAAGTCTAAAGCACAGCTATCCAAGTAGCTGAAACCTCTCCAGGGCTGCATCTACCTGTATCTATCACACTATCAAAGATGGGGGAAAATTCTGTTGTGTATTCATATCAGAATATATGCATCTTTACATAGTAAATCTGTATAACCTAAAACTGATTGTTTTAACCTTTTTCTTTTTTAAGACAGGACTTTGCTATGTAGAACAAATTTGCCTAGAGTTTGAGATTCTCCTGCTTCAGTCCCCCAAGTTCTGGGTGTACAGGTGTGTGCCACTGTGCGCTACTCATTTTAACAGTCTTAAGTATAAGTCCAGGGGCACAATCTACTCTCACAACACTGTAATACTTTCATCAATGATGGACCTTAAAGTTGTTCAAATGTTCTCGTGATGAATGCAGTGTCGATTACAAGTCCTAACGTTTATGCCCTCCTGTGAGTTATCTGAGGAATGCGTTTGGAAATCTGAGCTAACACAGTTACTAAATGCTCTCCAGTGCGTCTCTGAAAATCTGCACACCCTCCGGCAGTGTGAGAGAGGATCAGTGTGTGAGGGAGATGTAGCCAGTTTATGTTTGTAGTTGGCTCAGTTGATCGTCTGTGTGTAAACTCCATTATTAGCGCTGATTACACTAGTTTCTTATGTTTAATATTTGCCTTTTGCATTTTTCTTCTTTTATTTTTTTTCAAAGGTGCAAAACTTCTGTTTTTAAGGTTAAAAAACCATTAAAGAGTCTTGTAAGAATACATCGGGGTTGGGGATTTGGCTCTGAGGTAAAGTACTTAGCATGTTCAATGCCCCAGTTTGATCCCCTACTCCACAAAAAATAAAAATAAAAAAAAAAAGAGCAAAAGTCCAGGGAGCCAGAATGCTTGCCCCATCTCCCTTATTTAGGGTAACAAAGTATGGACCCCATCTTCTTTATTTACAGTAAGAAGGTAGCTGTCAAGGTCACTATGTGTAACTCTTAAATGTCAGACATTGAAATGCAGGCTGATATTTTTTTACAAAGTCTTGACCTGCTAATATGGACTCCAGTGAAGCAGGGGCGACGATGCTGCATCATATTAAAAACAAAGTAGTCACCAGGCGGTGGTGGTGGTGGTGGCGGCGGCGGCGGCGCACACCTTTAGTTCCAGCACTCAGGAGACAGAGGTAGGTAGATCTACAGGTTTCCAGGCAGCCTGGTCTACAGAGCGAGTTCCAGGACAACCAGGGCTACACAGAGAAGCCCTGTCTTGAAAAAAACAGAAGCAAAAACAAAATCCAGAAATATTTCTTTACGCTCTTCCACAGAGCCTTCTGTGAGACCCTGAGAGCTGTCTTACATGCCTGGAGTCTCTTCTGTTTCACCCGAACAAGCCTTTGTCCGGCCTGTATTACTTAGCCGGATGATGAGAAGTGTGGCCATTTTCCTCCTGCCACTGCGAGGTGCACCTGCCAGCCCTGCCTGGGAGATGCCTTGTGTCTTTGGCACCTGGGCTGCAGGTATTCGGTTGATGGACTGATTAGGTGATGAACCCTGACTACTTGCTGGATGGCTTCAGGAGGAACAACTGCTTGGCCAGTGGGTAGGATGCTCTGTTCCGATGCTGTGTCAGATGGAGGGACGCCGGCACCGTCCACTGGAGAAGTTTAGGCAACCAGACCTATTGGGAGAGCCCCACCACGTGTACTAGGCTAGCTGGCAGTCTCTGAGGCCAAGGCCACCTGACGGGCATTTAAAAACCTCTCCCTCTGGAGATCTGCCAAGGGTTTGCAGAGATGGGACTTATCTTGACGTGCTTTATCTCCTTCTCTCCTAGGAGAGCCTAAAGACTCTGTGGCCTGGAATATTACTCCCTCAGAATGCCCACAAAACAGACGGTTAACCATATGGGAGCAGCATGGTTTGGGGTTGTGTCCAGTCTACTAGATCCTGAGAGAGCTTCTGTAAATGAGTGTGGGCTCTCTGGAATTCCCTGCAGCAGGATGGTCCAGGTGGTTGAATAAGAACGGCCCCCATGGGCTCATATATTTGAATGCTTAGTCACCAGAGAGTGGAACTCTTTAATAGGAATAGAAAGATTAGGAGATGTGGCCAGGCCCAGTTGTCTCTCTTTCAGCCAGTGGGTGCCACCATGCTCCCAACCATGATGATAATGGACTAAGCCTCAAAAACTGTGAGCCAGCCCCAGTTAAATGCTTTCTTGTATAAGAGTAGCCTTGGTATCCTCCCATAAGAAGACCCGGGGTCTCAGGGTCTTTTAGGAAGGAGTGTCAGAAATGAAGATCTCCCAAGAATCAGGCAAAAGGATGAATAAACTTTAAGGGATTGGCCAGATATTCCCACACAATAGTCATTTGCTGGGATTTGGGGAAGAAGTAGAGGGTTGAGAATCAAGTACCAGTATTGAGGAGAGTGAGCTGACACACCCCTGCATCACCAAGGTACCTCAAGATATGCTGTTGGGGCGGGATCCTATTCAGGAGGCCCTGGGACCCATCATGATGGGGGAGAAAGAAGGCCTCTGCCTCAACAGATTCTTGGGGCATTGATTCTCCCAGTGACTGTCCTCACAGATGGGGCAGGGCCCTGGCCTACCTTTGGAGATAGCCCTCCCAACCCTCAAAGGAAGCAGGACCTGATTTAGACTGGGGGCTTCCTTGATGGCAGCTAGCGGTTCCTCATGATGTTCATCCTTCCTTGGCTCTTCCTGACCACGGTTACAAAAGACCAGAGTAGCAGCCTGACCCAAACCACCCAGGGCCTTGCCTGGCTCAGCTGCCAGCTGCTGAAGCTTTAATGGGGGCTGGCTGAGTCAAAATCTGCTCTTTAAAAGTTTCTCCTGTCCTTGGGGTCCCACCTCTGTTAGCACAATATTTCATGTCCTCTCTCAGCCTTGAAAAGGTAGCTAGTAGTCATTTATGAATAATTCAGAGACTTAACTTTAGGCTTTCTTAGCCCCCCTAAAACTGAAAATAATGACTTCTACCTCAGTCTCCTTATCTGTTATTGGTTCCCACTGAGGATCTTGCCTAGGGACCACCTTGTGGCCAGTGGGGAGGTTAGAATTTCCTTCTTTTTGCCTGGACATGTAATAATCATTTCCCATCCAGAGAGCTTATTCAGTTATTAACTTTTGTTCTAAAGTAACATCACCTCTATATAGCCCAAACTATGAAGATGAGCAATCTGTTCAATCTCTTGTACATATTGATCTGGTGTCCATGTGGCTGCCAAGGTTCCACCTTAGCCCTTTTGGTTCTGATAAGAAAAATGAGACAGGAACCAATTTGGGCCTGAATTCTCTGCCAGGCATTTCCCATAATGGTAGCATTCCCAGGGCTGGGGAAGGATCAGTGTGGTTCTGGCTTTAAATTCACGGATACAAGAACGGGGTTGTAGAATCTGTCTGTGGAGCTAAGGAAAGCCCCTGAGATCAGGCGTGTATCAGGGATGTCCCAGAGAGCCATTGTGTGAAGCTGTGTTGCGTTGTAGATGTTGGAGACTGCAGACCAGGTGTAGCGTCAGCTGAAGAGGGAAAAGGGCGTCAGAGCCGACAGCTGAAAGGAGTTGGAGATTGAAGAGCACTTTGACACCAGACTAGGAGATGAGGACTTAATTGCTTTACTGGGTTTTGGTCTTGCTTGGTCCAGTATTTCCTCACTAGGCTCCCACGCCTTTTGTAATGGTAATATATACTCTGTGTCAGTTTATGTTGGAAGTATGTTATCTGCTTTTTAATTTTGACTTTACATGGGTAAGGATTTTACATTAGGTAAGGATTGCCATGAGTCTCAGAAGAGACTATGGACTTTTACACATTGTTAAGACTGTGATAGACTGTGGGGACTTTTGAAGTTGGACTGAACACATTTTTGTGTTATGACATAACTATAAGCCTATGGTGGCCAGGGTGTATGTGGTGGTTTGAATAAGAATGGCCCCATAGGCTCATCAATGCTAACACTTAGCCTTTAAGGGGCGATGTTTAAGAAGGATTCGGAGGTGTGGTCCTGCTGGAGGAAGTACGTCACTGGCAGTGGGTTTCAAAGACCAGCAGCTGGCCCACGTTCTCCGTCTCTGTGTCGGCCTCTGTCTCTCTCCTTCAACCCGCAGATCAGGATGTAGCTCTCAGCTCCTGCTCCACTGCCATGAATGCGTCCATGTTCCTGACCAGACTAGACAGAGGTAGAGGCAATGGCTTTCTCAGTAGGACTCCAGTTCCTTGAGAAGTAAGAACAAAATTTGACAAGTGGGGGTGTTCGCATACCTTTTAAAAAACTCTTTTATTCCTGTTTTTTTACTATGGAGCCAAAGTGGATGAAATTTATTGATTTGCAACATTTGCATTGCTGAGGCTATCACAGTACGTGAGATGAGCCAGGCCCATCAACATAAATCACATATCCTCTCACTCACGTGAAGTGCAGAACCATTTTTCAGGTGTTGACTGAAGCAGTGGTTACCAGAAGCTGGGAGAGTACCAGGTGCAGGAGAGAAGATAAAGCTGGCCCACAGGTGCTAATTTACAATTAGATAGGATAAATTAGTTTAAGGTTTCTATGACCCAGAAGACTAAGTGTAGATGACAACAATGCAATGTAGGTTTCAAAAGCTAGAAGAAAAGTTTTTGAACAAATGACGAAAATTTGAAGAAATATGATGAAGTTGGTTTCAACACTTGGTGTACTCATCATATCAAAACTTCATAGGCTATCACATAACTGTGCTCTATCATTTATTTATTCATGTTTTTATATCTCTTTCTCCAATCCCTTCCAACACTAGGTAGGAGAAAGGGTTAGTGGGAGAGAGGGCACCGTTCTCTTAGCCGTTTCCTGCTGGTTAGGGTTGTCAGGTTCCTGGCGGAAAGTCCAATCCTCATTTCAGGAGACCCCCAACTTCTTGTCTCACTGTACCAACAGCAACAGGAGCAGCCTTGTTCTTTCTCGGAACCCCACATTCTCTGAGCTCTGGCATTTAGTCTCTCTCCAGAGTCCTCAGATTTAAACTGTCTGCAGCTGGCAAAGAGCTCCTCTCAGAGCTCACATGAGGCAAATAGTCTGCTGCTGTGGACCATCTGAATCAGTCCCACATCCCACACCTGGGATTAAAACACAAGCATGTTTATTTCCACTACATAAGGGTCTCATGAAATTTACAAAGCTTCTCTGCAGTAAAGAAGATAATCAAACAACTAACAATACATGCCCCGATGAAAAAAGCCATTAAAAATATATGTTATTTGTATTAATCAACTCCTTTATATACCTAGTATCAGTGCCACTGAAGACAACTGACTTTTTTCTCCTCCCAGAAGCTATTATTTATGAACAACTACTTGGCTAGTGGTGGGACTTTATGCTCATTTCTCCTCCTCCCTGCCAGGATTTTGCCTGGTCTTGTGCATGCTGCCATAGCCTCTGTTGTGTCTGGAAAATGCAGTTTCCTTAAAAGAGTCACCTACCTCTGCCTCTGATGGTCTTTCTTCTTTCTCTTCATAGATCTCAGCCTTATGGGAGGGGTTGTAAGACGCCATGTAAGGCTGAGTGCCCCCAAGATTCTCATTCTCTGCCTGTTGCCCAGGCGCAGATCTCTGTTAATCACACCCACTGTAAGAAGAAGCTTCTCTGATGAGGATTCAGCAATGCACTCATGGAGGGTATAGCAATATGTCATTAGGAGTCATTTTATTGCTAAATTCATCCAGCCAAATAATAGTATCAGGTTCTTGGCCTCATGGATGGTA